ACAATTTCAGAGTTTGTTTTTCATCCTTTAAAGCTAATTCTATTCATTTGTAAGCATTTTTGCAGTAACATTGAATGTCATAATTGAAGTAACTGAAGTTCTTTGCATTTCCAATCAGTGTGCTGTCATTGTTTCTTTTCCATGGTTAAATGTCACATTATGTAGTTCCACAAGACTGGCTGGACAGGTCAGCCCTAATCAAAGGTAGTTTAAATGTTTCAGAACCATTGCAAGCTTACTCTGAGAAGCAGTGCAAGTAGAAAAACACTTGTCCTAAATTAAAAAAATTAGAAAATAAATAAATACATGACTATGGTAAAAACGAAAGTGGGATATACTTCCTGCATGTCTTAATCTTTAAACTGTAAATATAGTACAGTCCTGACACATGTATTAACTGTCAAAGTGATAGTTGAGCACTAATAGTAAAAGGAAACTGGATTCTGGCTCCATACACAAATGTAGTCCCTTTTATTTATTTATTTGTTTACTTGTTCGGGTTCTGTCTTTCTTGTTTTCCTCTAACAATCTGCTTTCCCAGTAGAAACTAATCAGTGCTTCAAACTCAACTCTCCATTCTAAATTGTAGCCTTTCCAGTAAAATTAGTTATGACCCGGTTTCTAGGTTTTCCATTCCCTACAACACTGGAAATTTCTTAACTCTGAAGTTCCTTCTCTGTGGTGAATCATAATAATAACATGCTCTGAATAATTTGTTTGCTGCAGTATAGCAATGTGGTAGCCAGGGTCTAAACTGTTCCAAAGAGTTGAGAAAATAAAACCCAAGTCTGAGTGTACCCAAAGGGCTAGATCTGCTAGCTGCAGCTGTCTTCAAAACAATTGAGAGATATAATTTTGGTTTTATAAGGTAAGTAAATATGACTAACAAATTTGGTGTCTTGCATAAGATCCTACTTTATACTCACAGGCACCCTCTGGGGGTACTTAGAGGTAAAATGCTGCCAAATGTGTTGGACATTATGAAACCTTACTCAGAGCACAATTTTACTATTTAGATCGCCCCTGGATCTCACCACATTTCCCCTTGGTTGAGAATTCTACTGAGATTAGTTTCTGTTCATGTGTGGGACTTATTCAGACCAAAAAACAAAAAAGACTGGGTTAAAAGGCTGACTTGCTTTGCCAGTTTTAGATTTCATGACTAAAAATGATAACAAGTAACTGGAAAGCAAGGGAGTGACTAAAGTCAGGCCAAACTGTTCAATCCCTTAGTTGTGTCATAAATTTATTAGGACCAATAAATCAGAAATGACAACAAGTAGATACCAAGGGAGAACACGACCTACTTTATTGGGTGTGTATGGAAGTCATTTTAATTTTCATCTGGTACAAGAAAATAATCTAAGCTAATACTGTCTATGAAATCAATAACAACAGAACTGAGAACAGGTAACATCAACCTCACACTCTCAAGGACTTTCAGTTTTCTTTAATTCCCTCTGTTACAAATTTTAAGCAGTGGATAGAAATTTGCTGGGCTTCATCAACTGCATACTCTTCTTGCAAAGCTCCAGTTATGACCATGTTCACTCTATTTCAACGTCTTTCTTCTTCATTTGTTAATATTTAGTCTTAAAAGAAGCTTCTTGAAATAAGAGTTCTTAAATTGGATGGAACCAATTTTCCTAATATGTCACATATTTACATTGTGATTAATTGACATTAAAATTACTTGGCTACTATTTTATTGTCTTTATCTCATGAATTTTGGTTTTATATAAGTGAAATATGCTACCATTTTTTAAAAAATATTTGACGTAAAAATAGAAATTACATACAAATCCTCTGCTTAGTTACTTAGGCCATTCCTACTTTTCATACATGCCATTCCAATTCTGAATATCCTTAAGTAGAATTTTGCATTCTGCAATTTACATTGTAAAATATTTCAGTAGTATCTTTTAAAATCAACATTATATTCTGACATGATTATTTATTGAGTACATGGCAAACCATAATATTCAACCCTTTGTTAGATATTTGCCTTTTTTAACATTTTGCAGTATAAACAATTAGTTTTATAAAGCACATCCAGCATTATTTCTTTTTTTATTTAAGTATCATCAGGTGTGACTCTGTATTTTGTTGTGAGGAAAACTCTAAGAAACAAGCTGAAAAAAGTATTATTCACATTGAAATCAGTTTAGTAAGCAAAGTCAATATTATGTTAATTTTAAAATAGGTATGGCCAGTGCTAAAATGTACATACCATTATTAATCAATTGGTAGTATCGTCATCAATAACTTTGAACTCTGTAATATAATATTTCACTGATTTTTATACCTTCATTTACCCTTTTTAACTTGACTCAGTTTTGAATCACTTATATGGATAAGTATGCTAAAACAAGCTCACATATAAGACATATACATAAATGTTTTTCTACTTAAAAAACACCTAGTATTCAGGAATGTTAGAAATGTGCATTTATGGGACCATTGTTGTGGTATAGCGAATTAAGCCACAGCATGCAAATCTGGCATCTCATATCCAGCTCCCTGCTAATGTCCCTAGGAAAACAGTAATGATGGCAGAAGAACTTGGACCTCTGCCATCCAATGAGGAGACCAGGACGGAGCTCCTGGCTCTTGGCTTCAGCTTGTCCCAACCAGGCTATTGTGGCCACTTGGCAGAGAGCACCAGCAAATGGATAATCTCTTTCTCTCTGTATCATTCTGTTGATTTGCCTTTCCAATAAATACATAAATCTTTTTCAAAGAGAGTATAAAGTTTAAAAATAAATGCTCATTTATTTAATAACAACTGACTATGCGTTATCCATTGTATTTTGTTAGAAACAAAATTTAATCAAAATGTTTAAATAACTCATGCTAATGTAATTTTAATGTGCTATTTTTTCTAAGTTCCATAAGGCTATCTCTCACCGTTAACCTAAATTAGAAAGGCTTTCTAATATACAGCATAGTATATTAAACTCTGAGTGTTTTTAAGATCACACAATTCAATCAACCTCAGACACTTGAATATTGGATGGGTTTGGTTATGTTTTGCCTTGTAAGTTAATTCACCATATTCTACTCTATACTTTTAGTATGTATGAAACAGATCAGTGAAGTAGAAATACTTTGAAAGAAAGCCAGTGTACCCAATCTCACCTAATTTGAGTAATATACTTATTTATTAGCTTAAATATGTTAATAAATTAGGCCAATAATTTCTGCTCTTGAAAGATTCAAATTAAGTACAGCAGATTGGTTTTATTACTACTATTGCTCAACCGTATTTAAAATCCCAAACTGAATATGTTATATTACTCAAAGTATGTGAGTTTTTCTATTTTTTTCCCCAAAATGCTGCCTCATGAGATTTTTGGTCTGTTGGTGTTGTTTGATCCCCTGGCTTCAGACCTGTATCATGGAATTACTTCCAAAATAGGACAAGAAATATGTCCAAAAGTTTGCCACTAGGATTCTTGATCAAAACAAACTCCAATGAGTAGCACACATCTGGTTTAGCATTGTGACCTTAACGAAGACACATTATTTCTAACTTGTTATATGAGTTTGTAATGTTTCCTTGTTACTGGGTCTGGAAAGAGAAAAAGTACAGAAACTTGAACAAGTAAGAGGAAAACTTGAGATAAAATAATTTTTCTGTGCACATAAGAAAAAGAAAAAAGGAGGAGGAGAGGGTTGGGCATTTGGCTTCACAGTTAAGGTACCTGTTTCTCATATTCCAGTACCTGGGATGAGTCACATCTTAGGCTCCTGACTCCAGCATCCCACTAATACAAACCCTGGGAGGTGCAAATATGGCCCAGGTGATTGAGATCCTGCTAACTACATGAGAGACTTTGAGTTTCTGACCCCTGGTTTCTGTTCAGCCCAGTCTCATTGATAAAGACATTTGAGGAGGAAACCAATGGATAAGACATATCTTTCTTTTTCTCTCTGTTTCTCAAAAATAAATAAAATTTTCAGTGACATTATTTCTCCACAGGATTAAAAAAGATGCAATATACATCTTTTTCCCTCATCATTCTTGATCATTATCAGTTAATGAAGGAGTCGTTTACCATATATAAATCAGAACCTGATATGTTTATGATGTGTTGTGTATACTCATATATCTCTGTGTGTGTGTGTGTGTCTGTCTCCTAAGTACAGACATACATACATGTTATTCACAAAAGTTCTTCGAAGAACAATTGAATATATAAGAGTAAAATATCTTTGATGGAACAGCACAGTAAAACATAAAAGAAACCAATTATACCCTATGTTGTGAAATTAAATTTCTATTCCTAATCCTTGTTGATTAAGTTCCTAATTAAATGTTTAAAATGTTTTATTGTAAGTTTTTAAGAGCTCCCACAGTTGTTAAGTCCCTGCATGATACCCTACTAAATAAATAAATAAGTCTTTTTACTGTATTTATTGATGTTTGTATTAGAGGGAGAGGGATATTGCAGAATGAAAAGAAAGCATCCTCATCACTGGCATTCTACTGTCTGATATGTCGTCACACATACTGATTCCACTATAGTATTTTCCAAATAAAATTAAAGAATTGTTAATAATGAGTTACTAGCTGAGCCTCTGTAATGTTCAGAGTCACTGAAAGGAGAGAAAAGAGGCAAATTCCACCAGATAGCCGGGATGCTCAGAGAGTAAAGCCAATGATGTATTGGAAACTGTGCCCTGGGAGCTATCCAAGGTACTAACTAGTCCCAGTTTAAACAGCATCCTTATTCTGATTGGTTTGTTCTTGGAAAACAGGAAAAATAAAGCACAGAGAGAAAAAGGAGGTGTTCTACTTTCTATAAATTCAAATCCTGCTTTTCACGGTTACAAGGTATACAAACCTAAAAAAAAATCATTTAATCTCTCCAAAATTCAATATTTTCATTTGGGAGTGAACGTAAAAAAACTGCCTATCTCAGAAAATCATACAATGATGTAAGGATTAAATTGATTAACACATGTAAGGCATTTAACACAATACCTGGCACAGAATATTCAGTTGATAAATGTTAACTCATTTATTCATATCTTCAAAATATAGTAAAACCAGCAACAATGTATAAGCTTCCAAAATAATTAAAGTTACATTTTATAACATCTGCTACAGCCTTAACTCTCCTCCTGGAATTTACACTCCACAGGAACAGCACCTGCAAGGACTGGAAGAAGCTCCTGACTCCTGGCTTCAGATTCATCCAGTTCCAACCGTTGCAGCCATTTGGGGGTGTGATGGAATATCTCTCTCTGCTTCTACCTCTGCCTCTGTGTAACTCTGCCTTTCAAATAAACAAATATTTTTAAAAAGTCTACGTAGTCTCAATATACATTTCCTTTCACTGCTTAATTTTTATATAATTTATGCTTCAGTCATTGTAGTATGCCAAGCAAAGGAGACAATAGCTCACTTAAGATAATCAAACATGAACACTGCTTGAAAATAAATACACGTGCTGTGATAATTGCAGGTTAATTTATTCAGAAGTCTTACAGGGACTATATGTTGTCTTACCAATGACTGCAATAACTGTATAATTAAAGCTGAAAAGCTAAAGAGGTTTCCTAAACATGACATAATTGCATAGCTGTGTTGATTGTGCATTCTGCTGAAATGAAAATTTACACCCTAGAGGAAGAACAATTTGATTTTTTAAGTTTTTAGAAGTTGGTTTCACCAATTGCATAGGTCAGTAGGAAAAAGGATGTGGATAATATCAGTTTTCACCAAATCTGTTCATAACTATTCAAAATAGGCAAGATATGAAATCAACAGAATGTCCAGTAGCAGATGCATTGATGAAGAAAATGAGAGATAGATAAATATATAGACAATGGAATATTGTCCAGCCCTAAGAAGAATTAAATCCTATCATTTTCAGCAAAGAAAAAGGTGGAATAAAATTTAGAATATTACCAAATAAGGGCACCCTGTAATTTAAACTCAGCTTCATATACTGCTAGGGAATCATGCCTCTTATGGGAATGGATAACTAAATTGCCACAGCTTAACGTATTAGTGATTCCAAATAATTAAAAAAAACTCTTTTCAATTTCATATTGTCTGAGCAGTCTGATTCCCTGAAAAGACTTTTAAACAGAGATAAAATATAGAGCAGCAAAAATGCATATCTTAATTCACACTATGTTGCAAATTTCTGAAGATTGACCATTCAAAGGGAGGTGGCCAAAGCAGCATGTCCTTTTTTGACCTAGTTTCAGAAATAATATTTACTTCTACTGGATTCTGTTGGTTATAAATGAGTCACTAAGGTTAAGTCAGAGTTTCATCTTTATTTTTCTCTATGTCGCATATTAATTTCTATTACCCAGTTGTTGATTATCTGCCACTGTGCATTAAAAGGCAAGCTATACTTGAACAAAAATCTTTGTTAATATTGGTATTCATTCATTGGTGTATTCTCTAGTTAACACTGTCCTGGCAAATGATAGGTGCTAATAAATCTTATTTGAATGAATTAACAAATGAATAAATTTCAACACTGTCCCTATAGGTAGGATAATAAACAGATATATTTATAAAACACAGTGGTTACAATAAGCTTGAAATTTATGTCTATCAAAATATGTTTCATAAAATACTAGGTCAATGATATGTTGTATGAAATATATTTTATAATAAAGTGTGTTTGGAAATTGAATGGAAAGTGAACTAAATATCAGTTCACTACTAGAAACCCACTCCTGTTAAATGTTCTTAGAAGTCTTAAAAAGAAAAAAAAAGATGAATTTTGTGCAATATGCTTTTCCCCAACTTATGAAAAAACACCTCCATAACAGACCAGCTACCTCCAATGGAGTTTTAAACAGAACACATTTTGGTCCAAAAATATCATTCTAGGTTAGTTAGAGCTGGCATCTTGATAACAAGGTGCTAAAAGGCTATTTAGATGAGGGCCCCTCTGTTTCAGTATCACAGTCTGGGGAAATTGGGCCCCAGAATTCAATCAACTTGTTTTAGATCACAAGAAGAGTCACTAGAAAGTTGCGAACTAAAATCTAGTTCCTAGATTTTAGATTCATAGACTGAACCTTACCTTGGACTTCTACTGGACAGATGGTAATTGTCTTTTGAAAACCCCCTGAGAGATATAATTTGCAATCTTCCTCAGTAGCCTGTCACGTTATTTATCAAGTCAAACTCAGATTGCTAAGGGTGGGATTCCATTCCGGAGGGAAAGCATTTTCATAGTTTGGTTTGAAACATTCCATTTAAAAAATAATTTATGATAAATTCATAAGTACAATTTGCACTTGTGCCTTGGCCAATAGGGTGGTGGAGCTTGGAGCAGTGTCTTCAGCATGCACTCAGTGCTTGGCTCCAGGTCTCAGTGCAATGACAGTCTGAGTCCTCACACTCATGGGCCCCACCCAATGAGGCTGCCAAGCTTTTGTCATAGTCATGCAAAGCAATCAGTCACAGGAACGGAATGTGAAATGGTCTGGGAGTGCAACAGACCCTAAGGCTAAGTGTTTTCTAGCTCTAATATATTGAATACTTAAAATACAACTTCTATGTATTCTACCTAAATAACAAAATTCTGTCATTAATACAGTCAAATTTTTAGTCATCCCACTCATATAGAGATACCATTTATAAAAAAAAAGCTTTCTATATGTAGGCAGTCATTCATCTATTCCAGTATGTTGTGAATTAAGCATAATCTTGGGATGCCAAAGATAAGTATGATGCAAGAAAGGGCTTTGTATACCCAATATCTGCCTCATCAATTGCTCTGTAAACTTTAGTAGGCTTCTTAACAAACTGAGGTTTCCAAGTTGAAAACTAGGGACAGTAAGTACAGTTTCCACTGTATTTTTAGGAGAACTGAATAGGAAAAATCATTTGACATAGTGTCTGAAACACAGTATGTCTTCAAAAAATATTTTTCCTGTCTAGAAAATAAAAATTATGTTTAAATCCCCCTGAGGAACTTAATAATTAAAAGAAGCTGAAGCCTGATTCTTTTTTAAAGCAAGATAGTCTTTTAATATGAATTAATGCCTATTTATTTGTTTATTCAGAAGTATCAGATTTTAATATGGTCATCGTTTTTTAATGTGGAGGAACTTTATTTTATATGATGTTCACATTTCTAGTCATTTGTGGATAAAAGCCTAAAAATAAAGCAGATTGTTGCTTAATTTTTTCAACTTTTATTTCATAAATATAAATTTCCAAAGTACAACTTTTGAATTATAGTGGCTTTTCCCCCCATAACCTCCCTCCCACCCGCAACCATCCATCTCTGACTTCTTCTCCCATCTCATTCTTCATCAAGATTCATTTTCAATTATCTTTATATACAGAAGATCAACTTAGTATATAATAAGTAAAGATTTCAACAGTTTGCACCCACACAGACACTCAAAGTGTGGAATACTGTTTGAGTAGTAGTTCTGTTAATTCACATAGTACAACACATTAAGGACAGAGATCCTACATGGGGAGTAGGTGCACATTGACACCCATTGTTGATTTAACAATTGACACTCTTATTTATGATGTCACTGATCCCTCAAGGCACTTGTAATGAGCTGCCAAGGTTATGCAAGCCTCTTGAGTTCACCAACTCTGATCTTAGTTAGATAAGGCCATAGTCAAAGTGGAAGTTCTCTCCTCCCTTCAGAGAAAGGTACCTCCTTCTTTGATGGCCTGTTCTTTCTACTGGGATCTCACTCACAGAGATCTTTCATTTAGGTCATTTTTTGCCACAGTGTCTTGGCTTTCCATACCTACGAAACTCTCATGGACTTTTTAGCCAGATCTGAATGCCTTAAGGATTGATTCTGAGGCCAGAGTGCTGTTTAGGGCATTTGTCATTCTGTGAGTCTGCTGTGTATCCTGCTTCTCATGTAGGATCATTCTCTCCTTTGTAATTCTATCTATTATTATTTGCAGACACTGGTCTTAATTATGTAATCCCTTTGACAATGCTATCTTTTTGATCATTTATGAACTTAAACTGATCACTTTCATGAGAAAGATGGCATTGGTACATGCCACCTTGGTGGTATTGAATTGGAATCCCCTAGCAGGTTTCTAGCTCTACCATTAGGGGTAAGTCTGAGTGAGCATGTGCCTAATTGTACGTCTCCTCCCTCTCTTAGTCCCACTCTTACATTTAACAGGGATCACTTTCAGTTAATTTTAAATGTCTAAGAATAATTGTGTGCTCATTAAATTGGCATGTTTTTATTTGTACATTAAAATTTCAGCTATCAAAGTATGGAGCTAGTATGAGGGGAATTATGTATGTCCAACTACACTAGAATACGAAAGCATGAAATTAAACCCCTGTGTATAAAAATTTTGCAAATATTAGATGAACAATAATCATCTATAGCAAGGACAAAATACAACTGGGTCACAGTTGTGATAACAGGAAATCTTTATCACTGCCCAACTGATAAGATTCTAAATTTCAGATGGCAATTTGAAAAGTTTCACTGAGGGGCCATCATTGTGGTGCAGTGGTTTAAACCACTGCTGGCAATGCCAGCATCACATATTGGTGCTGGATTGAGTCCCAGCAGTTTCTCTCTCACTCTCCCCCACCTCTCATAAGCTATAGGTAAATATCATGCAGAGGACAGTATTAGGAATAAAGCTGATGGTCACTGCCTTTTTGGTTGTGAATTTAACCAAATAAAAATAAACCACTTTACATTATTTTGAATCTTAGTAACTCAAAGGCATTCAAAATACTCTTAAAAAAGATTTTTAGGCATGGAAAAAAATACCAGAAAACACAGGCAATGATTCAGTTCTACATCTCAACTCTCATTTTATATAAATAACTGTAATCATTGCAAGATTAAAATTGAGGTATACATGTTATTCAAACTATAGAAATCACTTTATGTCAAGTGGTGGCCAAATCTGCAAATGATTTCATGTAAGGAAAATAAAATATACTTTAACATTTCAAACAAAAATATACTTTTTGGGCATTCTTAATCAAAACAAAATTTCATGGCTAGACAATTCAATCAAAAAGTAAACTAAGGCACCTACATATCCAACTTAAAAGATTAAATTAAAAAATGTTGAAGGAAATATCTGAAACCACTGTCACTTTTCAAGCAATTTTATTTCAATGGAGTCAAATTTAAGCAGCTCAATTAAAATATTTTAGTAAAATATATACAGCTGCCAAGTATTTAAATCTGCTTATCCTGAGTTCATTAGCTGTTCTTAGTCCACTGAGCAATGATCTAGCTGGCTTTACCACCACAAAAACCTGAATAATAAAGACATCTTATTATGAATTGATAAAAGGTATTATTCACAGATAAGGCAAGACAATGGTTCATAATGAGTTTGATATAGGAACTTGTATAAATATGTCAGTTGGATACAGCTGGGGGAAACGCCATATATTGTCAAAATGAATACAAGGCTTTGGTTGCATCAAAGTTTAAGCTGTTGCAGGATTGAATAGGTCACTGACATTTTTTCTTTATTTTTTTTGAGATTTAAAAAGCAAGATTTATTAGAGTCAAAGAACTCCAGCCAGAGCAGCATGGAGGGAGGTTTCCAAAAGGGAAAAACTCAAAGTGGCTGGTGGTAGTGGGGTTTTTAAGTACAACTTTGGGGATGAAACTATCAGTCAACAAAAGACCTGATTTACAATTCTTTATCCTATCTGGCTTACTCAGGATACAACAAAAACCATCTAGAAGGGTGGTATGCATAACTTGTTTTCACAATAAACTGTGAGCTCAGGAGGATGAAATCAGCACGCCCTTGCTATTCTCATGGAAAATTTGGAGATTCCTAAGGAAGGATGGTGGACATTTTGTTCTTGCTAAAGGTAATGTTCTGGGAGGAAGCAAGCATTCTACACCCCAAATTCCACTGAGACCACCCTGACTGCCTATTAAACCATCTGACTCCTCATATGCTCCCCTCAAGAAGAATGGACCCTAGCTTCTGTTAGGGGGACTGGGGGATAATTGTTCTGGCTGCTTCATGATGAAAAGGGATATCTTTGGGAAGGGCAGTCAAGACAGGGTTCCAGCAAGAGTTGGCTTCTTAGCAGGAGGTGCTTCTCCAAATGTCAGCTTGCAGAAACTGCTTCCATCAGAGGATTCATGTGCATGGACACCTAGAATTTCACTGTTTTAAGTCTAGAGAAAGTGAATTTAACAAGAAATTGAAACTCACAGGATCTAAAACAAAGGACAGATATGACCTAAGAAAAGTGCTATCTAAACCAGGAGCAAGTTTTCCCATGAGAGGCAAATAGAAACTGACAGAAGGTGGCTGGATAATAAACAGGTGGGCTCTAAGGCCTGGCCAGTTATGAGGCCCAGACCTATCTATCTCTTCACATGGGGTACAAAACAAGGGAGGTGTGAACCTCATTAGGGAAGGCACGCTATTGACTTCCATTACCTACCTGGCCTGGGAGGAGAGCTGGCTTGAAGAGAAGGTAGGCAGCATCTCTAAAAGGAAAGCATTTTTAGTTAATTTACATTTTTGCCTGCAATGTTGCTGACCTTAGTTGGCCATCCCCTCGACAGCAGTGGTTCTTTGGAAGCTGGCCTGAGTGAAGGGCTTTTCAACTTAGAGCCAAAAAGTCATGCAGCTCTGACTTGAAGCCCTTTAACTCCAGGGCAGTTTGGTATCCAGTGATCCAACTATTGGTTGGCAGAATTGCCAGGGCTCTTCATAATCTGACTTCTGCTGAAGCCCTGACTTTCCATATCAAAAAACAATGCAGTTCACTGGCCTGTTGGATCTCCTTGATGGCTGATCACTGTGTAGAGCAGTCATTAATTGCCCGCCACCTATCTTTACGTTGCTTCTGTTCCCTAGCTTCCTATTCCTCCTGGTTTTTGCTATACACACCAGAGGAGGGGCTGATGCTGTGGTGTAGCAGCAATTATAATCAAAACATCCTCTTACTGGCACAAAAATAAACATGTAGACCAATACAACAGAGTAGAAACTCCAGAAGCCAATCCACATATCTACAACCAATTAATCTTTGACAAAGAAACAAAAATCAATCTCTAGAGCTAGGACAGTCTTTTCAAATAATGGTGCTGGGAACACTGGATCTCCATATACAGAAGTATGAAATAAGACCCCACATTACACTTTCTATAGAAACCAACTCAAAATGGACCAATAATCTAAATCTATGACCTGATACAATCAAATTACTAGAAAAGAACATTAGGGGAACTCTTCAAGACATGTGTATAAGCACAGATTTCTTAGATAAGATGCCAGAAGCACAGGCAACCAAAACAAAAATAGACAAATGGGATTACATCAAGCTGAGAAGTTTCTGCAGTCAATAGAAACAACCAGCAAAATGAAGAAGCAATGGACAGAATGGAAAAAAAATTGCAAACTATGAAATTGATAAAAGATTAATGTCTA